CCCTATTTTTTGCTAAAATTGTTTCTAGTTTTGTTTATTTTTTAATATTGAGTTAGAATTAATGTATTTTGTTTTTATTTTTATTTTATTTTTATCTGTAATCAAATTTTTTTACTCAGATTATTTTTGTTTTCTCATTTTTACGTTTGTTTTTTTTTCTCTAGATATATACATCTTTTTATTTGTTGTCTCTTTTCATATGTTTTAAATTAATGTAGGTATTTTATATTTTTTTTTACTTTCTTACATTTTTATTGTTTTTTTTATTTTATGTTTCAATTTATTGTCGTTTCTCTAATCACCAAATTAGATTTTTTGTTTTTGTGCGTCTGCATCCATTAAAATTAATGCCATGTCAGTGCAGCAACCTCCTGAAAAAAATCTTCTTCACGTAAATAAAGCATTGCTTTATCGTCGTGTATAATATTTCGTTTTATTTTGTACTCACCTACCAGCATTTCTTGAATATAAACAGTAGATAAAACTTCAAAATATGATAAAACAANATCGTCGTGTATAATATTTCGTTTTATTTTGTACTCACCTACCAGCATTTCTTGAATATAAACAGTAGATAAAACTTCAAAATATGATAAAACAAAAAAGAGAAGCTTTTAGTAAAAATTTTCACATTCATATGTTAATTAAGACTTTTTTGTTTATTTTGATACATACTATTAGCTCCTTAAATATTTTGCAATATTTTTTAACACCCTTCTATTCATATTTTTTTGAAATCTCCATATACTTCGCACTCTTTTTACATTTCTTTGACTTACCTATTTTTGTAATTTTTTAAACATCTATTCTATTTATTTATTTATTTTTTTGGGTTTTTTACACGTAATTCTGTCCTCAGCTTCCTATTTTTTGCTAAAATTGTTTCTAGTTTTGTTTATTTTTTAATAGTGAGTTAGAATTAATCAAATGTAATCAAATTTTTTTACTCAGATTATTTTTGTTTTCTCATTTTTACGTTTGTTTTTTTTTTCTCTAGATATATACATCTTTTTATTTGTTGTCTCTTTTTATATTTTTTAAATTAATATCAGATGTTGGTATTTTATATTTTTTTCTTACTTTCTAAGCATTTTTCTAGTTTTTTTATTTTACGTTTCAATTTATTGTGGTTTCTCTAATCACCAAATTAGATTTTTTGTTTTTGTGCGTCTGCATCCATTAAAATTAATGCCATGTCAGTGCTGCAACCTCCATAAAAAAAAATCCTCGCCACGTAAATAAAGCATTGCTTTGGCACACCGTCGTCGAAATCAAATCAGTATCGATCTGTTTCGAATTGAATTGCACCGAAAAGTGGAGTCGAGACGTCCAATAAGGATGAAGAACATCCTGAGTACAGTAGAGGGAAAACACTGTTGGGGTCCTGCCTCGCTAACGTCTTCTTCTGCACCATTCATCGCGCGCGCTTCTCCAGTTCAACACCGAAGAAGAAGTCGTCGCCTCGCAAGTGCAATAGTGTGCCAAAATGGGAGTTTTTAACCTCATCGTCGGCGTTTTACTAATGGTGAGAGCAAATAACAAATTCCGGGGGGTGAATCGGGGTGGCCGCCCCTCGGGGCTTCCCCGATCAATACCGATTTGATTTTCTCAACGATTGGGTTTTTATTGGACAGTTAGCGCATTGTTTGGCGTCGAAAACGGTACAAAATTCGATTTTCAGACACCTGTAAGTCCGCTATTTAAACGGAACACTCGACGAGTTCACCTAAAAACGGCTCTAATGCGCCTTTTGATTACGGTGGGCGCTGAGCGGTATTTTGCACACCCACGTGAACGAGCACTGTTTACTGAAGAGATTACTGCAATCTTTTCATTGGCGCAAATTGGGTTTTTGACGGCGAGAAATTAAACGGTATTGTGCGAAATTCAATTTGGAGTTTTAAATGGCAAGGCGCGAAATTGTTTATCGAGTTGGCGAGGCGTAGGGTAAGGCCGGGAAAGGTGGACACTTAATTTTTTTTTAATTTTTTCCCTGTGCTTTACAAAATAAAGCAGTTCACAAATTTTTGCACACTCTGTATATTTGTGTTTTCTTAATATTGCGAAAAATTGCAAACACATACAGGCTGTGCCAGAACTCGCGCCCCAGATAAAAATGTTAAAAAAATTGTATCTATAAAAATTTCGAAGTTATGAGGGTTTAAAGTTTGCACTTTGACTCTATTTATTTCTGTTGGAAAAATAATTTTCTAAGTTTTTTTTGCTATAGGCTATTAAAAGAGGAAACAAGAAAGCTGTATCCTAAATTGTAACTCTGTTCAATGTTATTTGTGGCTTTTATTGGCAAAATTTTTGTACCTTTACTAATTAATTGTAAAAAAACATATACATCAGTATCATTAAATAGACATAAAAAAATGTCAAATGTCAAAAAATAAATGTCAAAATTTTTTGACAGATAGAACATTTTTTTCATGTTCCTGGTATCTTACCTTACTTGAAAATTTTCTCTGGAGCGCGAGTTCTGGCGCACCCTGTATATTCTATAAAAAAAACAAAAATCACTAAATTAGATCAAATTTAATATTAGTTTAGTTAGTTTCGCTCTGTTCAGTCCGTTTATCTTGCAAAACATGCTTAAAAAATCACAATTGGTGTTATTTTGATTGTTTTACTTAAGTACTTTTTTTTAGATGAAAACAATTTTTTTTGAAAGATTTTGCTAAAACTGTTGAGCTAAAAAAGGAGTTATAGAAAAATTTAAAAACAAAATCTTGAAAGTAAAAAAAATTAAGAAACAAAAAGTAAAACAAGAAAAATCTGAGTAAAAAAAATTGTTTACAGAAAGTCAAAAAAATAAAATAGAGCAAAATAGACTGACTAATTTTAACTCAATTTAAAAAAAAGAAACAAAATTAAGCTAAAACAGAAACAATTTTAGCAGCTGAGAACAGAATAAGGTTTCATAAAATTAAAAAAAAACAATTAATAATAGTTTTAAAATATTACGAAAATAGACACTTCAAGGAAGTGTAAAAAAGTCAAGTAAATGTAAAAACGGTATAAAACATATCGAAAGAGCCAACAGATAAAAAGATAAAAGCATTTGATAATAAACAAAAAAAATGTATTAAATAAGATATTTCAGGGCTTTTTTAACAATATCAAAAAAGAAAAAAAATCATTTTTTAAATAAGTAAAAAATTAATATATTTCTGATATGTAAAATC